AGGGCGCAGCAGCCTCTATTTTTTTTTTCTTTTCTTGTTTGCTTAATGCCGGCGGAAGCCCAGAGGACTGGAATTGTCCGGGTCGTAGCTTCGGGGCTCTCATCACTCCCCCCATTAGATAGAGGATAAAATCCCAGCACTGTGTTCCAGAGGAGCAAGTGTGCACTGCACCGAGGTAGCAGTAGTTGCACATGAGAAAAAGGTCCTGCTGAGAGCCCCAGATTGGGCTCAGTCAGTCAGGGGCTGAAGAGCGGAGCGAGCAAGGGGTCTTTCCCGGCCTGGCATAGGTCTGTGTGCGCTTGCCGGACAGAATCCGTACTGTTACGTTTGAGCGTCCGGCTTTCAGGCTAGTCCAGGGACTAGCTAGCCGGAGAGCTAGTCTGGCCCCACACAGTGCGCCAAGGTGGCGCGCGGCGAGTGGCTGCCACGTGTGGCCTCTGCCACCAGGCTCGGCGCGAGGAGTTCGGCGCGCGGTTGACTGTCTTCGGCAGGGGCCGCTCCTCGCGGTCATTTCTCTCCAACTGAACCTGGCATCTCGGCTTCCGAGTCCTTCGCCCAGTGTCTTGGGCGGCAGTAACGAGCCCTGGTTTGTTCTAGTTCAGCCCGCACCTCCAGACCTTCTGCGAAAGGCAAGAACTCGAGAATTTTTCAGGGTTCAATTTTTCAAGACCTCTCGCCTCACAGGGAGGGCGCACACCTCGGGGGCTCCAGGCCCCTGCGCCCGGCTCGCCGCCAGCCATGCCTTGGCTCCTACCTCTTTGTTTTGCCCGCTGGGGAACCCAGGCCAGCCGCCGTTGGGGGTGGGAAGAGGAGGGCAGGCGAGGCCCGCGAAGTCTTTATCATTCAAAATAGAAGTAAAGCCAGCAATCTGAAGGACTGGGAGGCTTAAGGCTCTTTTAGGGCCTTTAGTAGCTGCGAGTCATATTCACTAAGAAGTTTTAAGAGGCAGGATTTGAGGCCTAAACTGCTTTTTGCTTTTTAAGGTGTTGGGGCTTGTATTCAGCTGTCAGTGTAATTTAGAGAGAAATACTTACAGATTGCCAACACAAGACCGTGTGGGTCAGCGTGCCCAAGGCCATTGTGGCAGGAATGGGCTCTTTGGGTCGGAAAATCCCTTGCTGTTCTAGCTATGGACGGGTGTCTGCACGCACTCCTAGGCCAGGGAATGCGTTGGGTGCTGGCCCAGGGTCTGCAGCCTGTGCGGGCTGTAGAAGTACATTCAAGCTGGGCAGGGCCTGACTGGGTTTGGTTGCTAAGTTGGGCTCAGTTATCACGTTAATTCTAAAGAAATTAGACCTGGATAAATAGCCTTTGAATTCAAAGAAATAACTCAGTATTGATTTACATAGCCATGCTAAGAACCCTCTTCTCAATGGGAGATGTTTGTGGAAAAAAAATTCCTGCTAGTCTTTTCCCCATTCAATGTAAAATTCTGTTTGTGTATAGGGAAAGGATGCTTGATCTCCTGAAAACGCAGGCACCTTGTCCCCTCCCCCAACGTACACACCTGGGAAAGCTTGGGGGGAATATGAGAGCTGCCTCTTTCTCTTTCTTGGCCCAGCCCAGTGATGATATCTTCAGGAGTAGCCCAAAGTATCAGACTATGCAAGAAAACACTGAGATGATGGTGTTTTCTCCAGTGATAGAACTATAATGCCCATATTAACACCCTCCCTTCCCAGGCTCCCCAAAATCCAGCTAAAAAGTGGGCCTTGTTTACTGCACACCCAAAAAGAGGCTCGCTGAAGTCTGGGGACAACATCTCCCTCATCTCTGCAGTCCTGGGTCCCAAGAACAGGTAGTTAGCAAACCCCAGCATGGATGGTACTGGCCCACCAGAGCCAGTGATTCCCACTGGGAGCTTCACAGACTTTTTCTAGGCTGTCCAATTTGGAGAATATTAACTAAGCATGTTCCAGCCTAGAGGCTCCTGATCCAAGTCTTTTCAAAACTGGAGTCCAGGGGAATTATGAAAATGAAGCCAACCAGATCCTCAAATTGAACACCTTTTGACTCTCCCTGACCCCATTCCCAGGCTGTGTGAGCATTCAAAGCTTTCTTAACAGAAGAAGCCAATATTAGGAGCCTAGAGTGGATTCAAGGGGAAAACAAAATATGTTTCTACCTTATTCAGTTTTGGGATTGTATACGGAAGTTGTTCTCTTTCTTTGCTTCTTTCTTTCTTTCTTTCTTTCTTTCCTTCCTTCCTTTCTCCCTCTCTCTTTTCTCTTTTATCAAGCATAGGACCCCAATCCCTAATACATAAATAGTCTTCTTTCTCTCAGTCCAGGAAAAAAGAACTCAACAATGTTTAAACACTTAGATTAAAAAAAGATAAATGGTGATGATGTTGGTCTTTTTAATCTGTTGGATAAACCAAGGCTGAGCCCCCCATATTTGCCCTGTTGGGAAATGTAGCAGGGCAAGGGGGAAGGGCAGGGGTGTTAGAAGTCAGCTTTCATCAAGCCAGTCTTTGGAAACCAGGACCCACTGACCATAG